AGAGAGAGAGAGAGGCAGACAGAGACAGAGAGAGAGGCAGACAGGCAGAGAGAGAGGCAGACAGAGACACAGACACAGACAGAGAGAGATTTCCCCCCCTGAATCATCACTGACTACAGTTTTCATAAGTCTCCTTGATGCCATATTTAGTTAAATACTGCCTTGATGTTAAGGCAATAATTCTAATTGTAAAACATTAAAAGATACAAACCCTTAAGAATGCTTCTTTTTAGTGCAAATATATTTTCAGACCTTCGCTAGTAAATTGGCTAATTTTGATGCTTTCCCAAAGAAAGCTCTTAAATATGACTCACACCAGCCTCACTCAGCTCGTTTCACACTAATTTCAGAATTGCAAGGCTGTGGATTCAGTCTCACTCTCGCACTTAAACTCACATTCTAGGCTAACATTAATTGGCAGTGCCATCTTTCAGAAAAGCTATTAATCTGAGGCTCAATTGTCTGTACAGTGGAAGAAAAACATTTCATGCCATCACTTGAAGAGGAATAAGGAGTTCTGGGTGTCCTGACCAACATCTCTTAACTATCAGTGACAAAAATCAGATAAACTGATTTTTCAGGGATAATAGGAACTGCAGATGCTGGAGAATCTGATTCAGATTTTCAGATTCAGAAATTCAGATTTCTGAAGAAGGGTCTAGGCCTGAAACGTCAGCCTTCCTGCTCCTCTGATGCTGCTTGGCCTGCTGTGTTCATCCAGCTCTACACCTTTTTATCTTGAACTGATTTTTCATCTCGTTTGCTACCTGTAGTGTCTTGCCTTTTGCAGAATTGCTGTCTTTTTGCCTCCATGACAATGCCTGCACTTCCAAAGAATTATTTATGGGGCGAGATTCACCTTACTAAATTCTGACAATGAGACAAGACACAGAGTTCAAATTTCTCCTGTATAGGCATGCCAATATAAATTCTCAATTAACAATTAGAACAAAGTTTCTGACTGAGAGATTATAAAGGAATAGAAAACATGACTTTGCAACATCTCTAAACACATGGCAGACACACCCAATTTAGCTGTTTACCAAATAAGATGAGATGGGTAGTTGGAACAACATTAACAATTAAGTGAGTGATATGGGCTCACCCCCTAACAGGTGTTAAAATAAGAAGGCAACTGCAAAATGCTTGCATTTGTACATACTTATTGCACAGCCCTTTTCCAACTGTTATCTCAAAAAGCTTGTGTTCATAGAAAATGCACAGCCAAGTCATCATTCAGACAATGTATTGAATATGTTCAGATTACAGGCAAAGACTGGATCAGCATAAAAATAATAAATGCCCTTTGCAAACTAGATTAGAAATGTCTACTATAAAAGGAATGAACTCCTTTTCAGCCATCCATCTGCAACTGTGGAAAAAAGGGATACTTGTCTCTTCTTTCAAGCACCATGAAATGTATTGCTAAAATTCAGTATTTACACATTAATTGTTTCCCTTGCAAATTTGTGGATTCACCAAGTTCGGGATGTTAGTTGGACAATCACAAGCAACTGCCTATACTCAGATGAGTGAAGTACAGCTATGTGCAAATAAGATTTCCTTCCTGAGACTTCAGAGGCCCTTAACCTCAATTTCATAAGTCGACTTTACAAAAATCATGTCAAAAGTATCCGCTTTGCCATTAATTCAAAGTTGACAGATTCAACAAAATTTAAAACACTAATTTTAAAATATATTCTTTGGAACGTGGCTTGCTCTGTTAAGCCCAGCATTTATTGCCCATCTTTCCTTTCACTCAAAGTAGGAGTGTGCACTTATCCTCAAACTGTTACAGTGTTAAATGGTGAAAGGCCTTCCCATAGAGTATGACAAGTGTGGTTTCATGATTTTGACCCAAAGAAAATGAAGAAATACCAATTTCCATTTTGGAATTTTTGTTGTTGTTATATTGCCCTCAAACAAATGATTAATTTAAATGTTTTACTGCAAAAGTGACTATGTCATCAGGAGCAGACTGTATTAGACAATGGAAGGGGGAGGACAGGTCAATTTATATGCCATCTAATACAAACACAAGACAGGCTAAAATGTTTTATCATTAATGAGGTACTTTTGAACGATCACTAATGCAGCACAGGAAACATTGTATCCAATGTGTACACAGCAAGCTCTCATCTGATTTAGTGATATTAAGTGTCAAAAAAAGGCTGGCCAGGACATCCTGGAGAACTCCCCTGTTCCCTCAGACTTACACTATATCCATTGAGCAGACAAGGGCTTGGTTTAACATCTTATCCAAAACGTGGCACCTCAGGATGGCTGTGACGAGTGCTGTACTAGAATTTCATGTTTTCACTCCAAGCCTTTTATTTCCAAGCTCTTTTTCCATGGATTCTGCATCTCCACCACAAAACCAGTTATTCAAAACCCACGAAGGAAACTGACAGAAGCAGCACTGGGAAACCAAGCACGCCCTTACTGGGGATCCCCTGCTGCTGCATTACATCAATCACAACTTTGCGAGATGGCATCATTGCAGCCAAAAATACAAACTAGTCAAAAGGCTGATTGTTTACTGTATCTTATAACATTTGGAATATAGTGTTTCTAATTGCATTGCTGGGGAGGATCTGGCCAGATATTGTATTCTACGTTTGCTGTGGGATGGCACGGGGTGGAGGGGCAAACAGAAAAAT